GATAGGAATCTGCGAGGAATATGAAGATGCAATGGAAGTGCACTCTCCTAAATGTCAACTGGACAGTCAATGAAAATCCAATCTACTCCGATATTGTCACACAGATGATAACCACGAGCACACTGAGTCTTCCAGTGACCATCATAATGTCCCCAACAGCATCAAACACTCTCAGGCAATGGGAACCAGTCTCCTTCTGCAGCATCAGCATCATGACAACAAAATTCAAATCAAGAGGAAGGAAAGTCAAAATCATACAATGCTACAATACGCTACACAACACTACACTACACTAGGCACCCACAGATAATACAGATGAAGAGAAGAAGGAGGAATTCTATAGACAACTACAATCAGTACTGGAAAAGACAAGACAAGACAAGACACCCAAACCATGATGCCGACATCAAAATCCATTCTAATGGGTGAGGTGACATGAATGCGAAACTGGGAGCCGACAACACAGGAAGAGAGGTCATCGTTGATCGAGAGACACTCAGTGAAATGATGAATGAGAATGGATAACTGTTTGCAGACTTCTGCGCATTCAACGATTTGCTGATTGGAGTCAGGCAGTGTGCACAAACAAACACAAGCATATTCACAGGGCAGTGACATCGACTCGATTTCACCATTCACCAGATGGACACACTACACTAAAGATCACATCGACTTCATCTCAATGTGGAGAAAGTGGAGACGCAGTCTACTGAACACAAGATCAGGTCACAGGTCACAGGTCACGAAGAGGAGCAGATGTAGGTTCCCACTGCTCACTATCTAGTGCGAGGAACCTACTTGGAAATCAATCAAGTTGAAAGCCCTCAAGGGAACTGGTGATGATAGACCAGAGTTGAAGTTGAACACCCAGAAACCGGATATGAATGAGGAGACTACAAAGGAGATGTTCATATCAGTGAGCCATGAGGAGAAAATGTGAGGCATTGAGTAACATCCTTGAAGGGACCTGTGTGGAAGATCACTTGGACTAGGTTGTATTGTGTTTTCTGAGCTGGGTTGTTTAATCATAAAGCTTTCATCGTCTTTCTGGATGACACCATCAGCACTGACTTCAGTACGAACACTACAACTCTTTGAAAGAGATGTCGAAGGAAACCTGCATGACCAAGGTAGGAGGGAAGAAGAAGCAAGACGAGACGAGACGAGATGAGACAAGGAATGGATCTCCACGGACACATGGAAGCTGATAGAGGAGGGAGAGGAGGATGGTGAAGCGGAAGATAAATCAGTGCAGTGCAGTGCAATGCAATGCAATGCAAGGATGAACAACGAAAAGGGGAACTGAACACAACATATAAAACACTTCATTGGACAAAGAAGTGAAGAAGAGTGTGTGGAAGAGGAAAGACACTTCTACAACTCACTTGCAAGTGAAGCAGAACAGGTTGCAGGTAGTAGGAGATACGGAGGAGATCTGACAACATTCGACCAAATAACCAGGTCACTCACTATCTGGTGGGGAAGACATCAACACACCACAGATGAAACCAATGAAAGATGGTGAAGGGAATCTAGTTACCACGAAAATGGGAAACAAAGGAAACGATTGACTGACTACTTCAAAAATCTCTTGAATCGACCAACACCACCACCACTACCACTTGCAAGTTGTCCAGAAATACCACCACCAGCACAGCTACACAACTGTCAGTGAACACAAATCCTCCGACAAAAGCAGAATTGAAGTCCTGAACACCATAAACATGCTGAAATCCGGGAAATCACAAGGACCACATGGAATTCCTCCAGAAGCATCAAAACAAAAGACACAGAGACAACAGTGGACATGCTCACACCACTATTGAACAAGGTTTCGAAGGAAGGTAAGATACCTGGTGATTGACTGAAATGAGGGTTAGCTTGTCAAACTCTCAAAGAAGGGAGACATAAATCTTTGCAAGAACTGTCGACGATTCATGCTCCTGTCCACACCCAGCAGAATATTAAATCGCATCATCCTGGAGAGACTAAACAATACTCTCGATTGAAAATAACCACCGGAACACGTTGGCTGATTGAATGGCTGACAGGCTGCCTTCAACAAGAACAAATCATGTGCAAGTCAAATTGCAACACAACACAACGCTACGCAACGCATCATCACAGAACACAGCATCGAATGGCACTCAACTCTTCACCTTACCTCAACTTAATCGACTTTGAGAAGGCATTCGACAGCGTCGACCAACAAGTAAGTTGGCAGTTGCTCCAACACTACGGAATACCGCAAACCTTTATCAGCCTCATTCAACAACTAGCTATATGCAATGATGATATGATATCAGTTAGAAATGGCAAAAGAGTACTGCGGGAGCTGACTTCTGAATATGGCAATACATGATTGCTGACAACAGTGAAAGTTATCTTCGTAACCATTTCAGAGCAAGTAGTCTCGAGTAGAGTGCATTCATCACTTTAGTGTTAACAACACTTGTATTTATACTGTTGGAAGATAATGTATGCAAACATGCGTACAGCCATTGTAGTTCAGGACAAATTGTGGTGAAGCTGTTAGTCATATGGTCTTCTTGTGAAAGAACAATCATCTGCTGTCTTTATTTACTTTCTAGTGACACTTTTCCAACTCTGTAAAGTGACTAGGTATAGTTCACAACTGTTTAATTACAATTTTTGTGAAACAGTTAGCTCCATCCGTAAATGAAATATAAATAAATTGAATTGAAGCTAACTTTAGGTATCAATGGTAAAATGAAAGAATCTTTTTTAAGGCCATCCGCATTAACTAGTAATATTAAGAGATTTGTAAGCATGATTAACGAAGAAGGGTAGCTCCTCGGTTTATGCACCAGACTTTAAACCAGTGAGTCACGGACTGGAACCCCGCTAAAAATACCGACGTTTGGACAGCCAAGTAGTATCACTAACCCTAACATAATCAGTGCAGTTCATTGCCAACAGCACCAGGTTGAGTGCATTCTGACTTTTCAACAACCATATGACAAGGAAGAATGTTGCCAATTGTAAACGTGTTCGGCAACAAAAGCAGACCGTTGGGACAGAAGTCCTAAAGTAATAGAAATCACTAGCCTTGATGGAAATTGGAGAGAAAATCAATAACTTTGAGGCTTGATACGCTCTACTGAAGCCACTGCAACCAGACATTTCAAACCTAACCTTTGTATACAAAAATAAACTTATGAATCCATCCTTACCCTGGCAATTTGTTATTTTGGGTTACATCATGTCTTCCTTGCATTCTAGTAAGTTTTGACCAAACTTATTTATTTTGATATTTCCTGTCAATGGACTTATATATTTCCTCAGTCGTTTGGCAGCTCTCTCCCCTTGAATTGTCCGACATTTTTATGGATCTTACCATAAATAAATTGTCATTTATTTGGTATGCAACCTTGGGTTGTATGCAGCTGACGAATATCCGTGAAGTCATTATATTTTGCGAATCTGTTCATTCTTGCTTTGTTCAAATTTATCAAAAGAACGAAATATGGGAAACTGCAAACTCTTACTAAGAATTGGTGGGTTAAAACAGATGTTTCCTTTCTTACTCTTCAACCAGTTTGGTGGCCACTTATATTGACATTACTTTCTGAAGTCTGAATCCAGATTTCTACAGCTGACTAATCTTTGACTCGGTGTGTTTGGCAAGAAAACAAAATAGTAACGTAGTGACCACCTAAACGGAAATAGATTTATGTGGCACTGTATCTGTGATTTAGTTGTTGAATGTAAGGGCAACTGAGTCACAGAAAAATGTCTAAAAAAGGAAGAAATCATAACATTTTCTCTTCATTTAGGCTTCAGTAGTTTCCCTTGAGAGATAATTTATTTCTAGCGTGTTCAACCAGAGGTCAATCAATACTTAATGCAGTGAACCATTCGTTGAGTAACTACGGTGTACATAAAACCGCTAACTGTATAGTCGGAAATGATTTCCAAAGTATCAAACTGGGCCTAACGTAGCGTTCTCTAACGAAATACGAACACTTGAGAACCCCTACTCATATTAGACGTAAATAAAAAAGCTTACAATACTAACTCCTAGTACTTATAAGTTTTGTTTATACAGACAGGTTTCCTCTCTAAAAGACATTGTTGCTTACGGGACTAGCTCCTGGTTTCAATAAATTCGTTGATCTGTAAAACGTTGAAGACAAAGACCAGTAGAGGTTTTGACAAGTGAACCAATCAAAGTGTATTTTATCTGCCTGAAATAGCGCAAAAAGTTGAAATCGAACCAAAAACATTGTAACAAGTAGTACACACGTTTTCCAAGTTGTTGCTTAGAAACTGGAACATAAATATAGGGATAATCAAGTGAGAAAGATATACGATATACCCAGAAAAGTGAAACACATGATGAATCGCTTTGAAGTAAGACAATGTATTAGCAGTCATTGTAAAATCATAGGAGAGGTTTTTTAGGAAATAGATATGAGTGATCAACATACTTCAAAGATATATAATAAAGTGAAAGAATGATGTAAAATATGTAGATGAACTTGACTAGTATCAAAAGACTCAGAAAGACAAAAGTAAGCGTCTCCCGCATTACTTTAGATTATGAAACTTTATAAAACTCAAGATATTGGGTTAACTTGAAGGATTTTGCTTAACACGAATTTAGTAATTCGAATTGCGCAGACAGAGTACTCATGCTTTTGTGCATGAAGCCAAACATTGTACATTACGATCAGCGTTTCAATCTGTTTTAATGACTCACAACACATGATAAGTATAATAAGCTTTACAGAACACAGAAATTATGAAAGAAATACATAAGTTGTTGTTAACCATGTTAGAAGATAGTGAGTGAATTTCGACAGAATGAAAAGAATACTTGATGTGATGAATAAACGAGAAAACTGCTAGATGAAAGAAATATGTATGAGCATTTCCATCGGACTAAATACAATTAGTATTTACAAATGAGGGAGTAAAAGAAAAATGAAACCAATTAGACCGATCATGCTTTTAAATATTAATGGGGTTTAGACTATTTAATATGTAGCATGCACTGGATTATTGTTATGCTTCTTAATTGATGAATAGGGAATTTCTTGTAGAATTCTATGAGTTATTCCAATTGGTCTAAGATGATAGATAAGGTACTCTAAAATGTACATTTTGATGGGATCCAAACCACCGAAACTGATGAGTAACGGGCTTGCTGGAAGCTTCAATAAAATGAGATAAAAAATAAGCAGTTATCAATGTTATCATTGCGATAATAAAACTCTTTATACCTATATATATATATATCGTCATTACGGAAGTGATGTATGAGGACATACACCTCTTGATCAGTAAGGTAAGTCTTAACTGTTTAATGTTCGAGACTGCTCTGATTTGAATGTCGTTTCATTATTGGAGTCAGTTCTAGAACGATGTGATGGTATGTATTAGTCTTGAGTGCCGCTAGCTGAGGTATAAGGGTAGTGAATCGACATTTTTGTGAAAGGATAATATCAAACATACACATTTTAGGGAATGCTTAGCATCTACTGAACTTTTAAATATGTACTCAGTGGTTTAGTCCCATTATAGGCTGTGTTCATACTTACTTTTACATTTTTATGACAACAGATGGGTTCTACGTAGCTGTAGGATAGATTGTACTGAGAAATAAATTCAAACTTTAGCCATTGCTGAAAATGATCATTTATGAGAATAATGATACGACGGTGAAAGTCGATAATAACTTGAAGAGTTTGGTGCATTAGAATCCACGACTTTAGATTAATATACCGAGTTATCTTTCTTTAATATTCAACTACTATAATTTATTTTTGTGTCCTTTCAATTCAAGTAGCAAGCATAGTACCAGATACAGCTAACTTGTAATAGATTTTTGGTGCATGAAAAAACTTTCGCAAAAGTGAGTGAATAAAATAAGGAGTATGGTGAAGCACTAACCCTTCTTCCAAAAAAAATAAAAACGGCTTCATTCACTTACTTTTATGTGAAAGTTTTCTGGAAACCACTGACCTAAATCTTCACAGGAGTATAGCCACCGTCCTAATGGTCTACATCTTATGACATATTAGCGGCTAGAAATTTTCTTACTGAGGATTTCTACATGTTACTACTTCAGTCAATAAACTCTTCAGAGGAAAGCATCTGCTAGGTAAGTGTAACAGAAGCTTTAGCCGAGATTACAAAAGACAGTTTGAAGTGGAGCCCTGCACACAAGTGTATCATTTTAAATTGGCATACTTAACAAAAGCACATGAAGAGGAATCGAGTGGTAAAAGAATAACATTGAGGTAGACAAAATTGCATGAGGGGAGGGGAACAAGTGGTCAGTAGGTTGTCCGAAATTTCGATGAAGAGTGTATACATTCAGCCATTGTGATAAATTTCCAGATATACTACCAAGTGTTTCCAAACATTAGTTCCTATCATTCCGAGGTCTCTAGCCGGGGTAGTTCAGACGGTTCACATCAACAGTCAAATACTTTATGAATAAGTGTACTGTCTTAACTCGAACATCCTTAGTTTTCAGCAAAACTACCTATACTTCATTATTTTAGAAACGGGGCCCATTGAGGCATTGAAAAGAAAACGAAGTAATTCAGAGAAGAAAATTCCCATTGGGTGTGCAGTATGATATCATGATAATAAGAAACAATCAAATAAGTCCTTTGTTGGCTAGTAGGTCAACATTAGGTCATCAAAGCAGAATACTCTAGGGTGAAATAGTGAGACGTTTCTAGAGTTAGAAGGTTGCGCAATGGAAGTGTGCAGACGATCATGGCGATGACCCATAGGTTAAAAAATAATGACACCGTTTGTGATCAATAATCGGGGTAAAATATTACGAGAATTTTAATAAGGAAATTGAAACCAACATTTTACGACATAGGAAAGTAGACCATAAAATAAAAACAAGAATAATCAATCAACACGAGTAAGGTGAACAACGAAGCAATAAAGAATCTCAAGGAAGGATTATGACCAAGGCGAAATAAGAGAATGGCAGTACCTATTCTGTATGCAGAGCTCGAACTTTAACTGTTGGATTGCCAACGCTTCTGCTATGCATAATTGACGAATCTGCACTCCTTCTGGACTGTTTCGATGAACTTTGTGCAAAATTTTCAAAAATTGTGGGGAAGCGACATAACCAAATGGTCCAAAATAAAACTTTTGCTTGACTTGCGCTCGCTACTGGACAATCAAGCGGGACAGTGCTCAGAAATGCGTTTGGAAAGACTGCGCTTTGTGCGGCCAGCATATTCAGGTCGCCAAAAGAGTGGGTAAGCTGATAGACATAAATAGATGAGGCCCAAAGCAGCAGTTTGTCTCTCACACCTCCTTGGATCAACTATCAAGTAGAGAATCTAAAGGGGACAACGCAGCAGAACTACTGCATTTCTAGGCCACTCAGAAAAACATCGAATGCAGCTAAACTGCAAATGGGTTTTTTCCAGTTGACAGAGAATCCTCAGAGTATTTTTTCATAGATATTCCCAAAATGTACACCATTTTCACTATCGCAAATGTGCAGCGAAGCGTAGGTTACGAATATAAACGAAAGCATATTTGAAGCATTATTCAATTAAGTAGAAGTCACATAGTGTTTCTGATTTATCAGCAAAGTTGTAAGATTTGGTAACACTATCCACTTAAGGTATGGCATTAAAATCTTTCCAATTTTTGTTACGATCTGTCAGTAACTAATCTACAGAGCTGCAACTGACTGATTAACAAAATCAACGTAGAACATCGCACACAAGTACATCAGCTCAAGTTGCCATACTTCACAGTAGTACACAAAGAACAAACGAATAGAAAAGGAGCTGCGACAAAGAACTTAGAAGTAAGCAGCAAACTTTACAACCAACTACCATCAACATTCGGCACTTCTTCATAGGAGAGCTTTTACAATCTCGAGAAAGAAAACTGGTTATAACACTAGCGTATAAATATATAACTGCTGACCTTTATACGTACGGCAAAGTTACTGTTAATAGCTGAGAAATCAGTATTTTGGTGGAAACTATGATGCAAGAAGAGATTCTGAAAAAAAGGTTAAGACCGAAAGCACATAATATGGTGAGTTTTAAGGTGATTTTAAAGGATTTGCCAACATTGTTGGCAGAAATGCTATTACTTAGAAGACAAAAAAAATATTGAGGACCAGAAAGCAGCGAGCAACTGTTACATCCTAATCCACAATTAATGATGAACAAAGTCTTGTAGATGTCATCTATTTCTTTTTGTGGTATAATACACAAGAACCAAGTTATAAAAGTAAGCATGTAACACACAAAATCAACTAAAAACGATGCCTGATAGAATACTTCATGAATATAAATCGATATCCAGTAACATTATTAAAAGAAAATTTACGTAGATTTCTATCTAATGCTTACTTTCTTTAAATCATACACTGGTTGTGTGTAATCTGCTTCGATTGGATTCCATCGTGGTGTTCCGTTGTTAAATGGACCAAACAGATTTTTAATAGAGATGTTACCGAATCGTGAGTTCCCAAACATATCAATGCTATCTTTTAGTTCAATACCCAATGCCTTTGCGCATACAGCTAGGGAAATTTTAAAGAGATGTAAAGACAGGAAGACAATGACAATATCGGGCTGTTTAGTAAGAAGTAAGTGAATCACGGTGGCAAACGATTTCATTGATGTCATTTAGATTTAAAGCCAAGATCCGATTCCATACAGAGCATCTAGACATTTACACAAAAGACTGCGTTTTGAACACTAGTCTGATCTCCAAACCAGAGCAAGATAGAGTAGAAAGGAACTGAATCCTTTTATTGTTATGTTTTCTGAGCTGAAATGTTTAGTCGTGAAGCTTTCGTTGTCAATCTAGACATCATCAGCACAGACTTCAGGAAGAAGTGGGCGATAAGGTTTTTTCCGCAATTTATTTAGTAGCTTGTCCTGATAGATGTGTGTGATTGATTGTTTCTGCCTAGGTCTTATCGTTTTCTCCATGTTTATTCTGATTGGTTATCCTGATGACCTGAAATCTGCCCTCATTGTTTCTTGTTCTTTGCATCCGTCTACATGAACGTCAACTAGCAGTGAAGCGTCATGAAATATCTTCGCTCATATCAATGCATACAAATAACTGTGGATGTGAATTTGACTGGGAAAACGTGAAAAACCTAGATAGACGAAATGCAAAGAATGTCAGAGAATTTTTAGAAGCTTGGTATTCAGGTCAATCAGCAACCAACAGCCATATTGACATTGACTCAATCTACCAACTAGTAAGAAACAACAAGGTCAAATTTCAGGTCATCAGGACAACCAATCAAAATAAACATGGAGGAAACGATAAGACCTAGGTAGAAACAATCAGTCACACACATCTATCAGGACAAGCTACTAAATGAATTGCAGAAAGAACCTTATCACTCACTTCTTCCTGAAGTTTGTGCTGATGATGTTGTCTAGAGCGACAACGAAAGCTTCACGACTAAACATCCCAGCTCAGAGAATACATCATCAAAATTATCCTCCTGAGCTGCAAATATTCTCTATCATCTCAGGAACTGAATGGGTTTGTTGTCACTCCAAACTGATTATGAGCAGGGTTAAGATTTATACATACGGTTTTGGTTAGATGACTTTCAGATTTGTCTATAGAGTGAAACTTGGATTTACAGGGAATTTCAAAATTCCCGGAACGGCGTGATTGGAAAAATTTGATTTTCTGGGATTAACGGGTCAAGCTTTCCGATAATGATGATAGTTTCCGGCAAATACAACTTAACATTAACTAACATCGCCTATATCCTAGAGGAGTATCAAGTTAAGACGTAAGTGTTGGACTAAAGTTTCGAAATCAACAAGTTGGAACGTTGTCACAAGCATGTTACTGTTGAGTTATTGTGATGGAGCCTAGCTATCAGTTAGCTTAAGGTGGTACAAAATCACTCCCCAACATCATCTCCACGTAGTTGCTCTTATAATATTTAAGAACTTACTTGTTCGAAGATATTGAAGGTGAGATGGTTTTTTAACGTAAGCATAATAAATAGGCCGATCAGCAATACAAACTCGGGCAGTCACTCTTCTTATTCACAACAGAAAACTGACAAAACAAACAACTCACATATTTGAACATCCTCACGAACATGTTGAATTGGTCCACATTCAGTTAATTGATCTAAACCCTTACGGATGATGAGCTCAAGAGCAGCTTGTGATATTACGTAACCAAAGCTACCAGACAAACTGAGTTCATGTGGTTGGATCTAAAGAAAAGCAGACACCCATGATTATCATAATATAGAAGACAGTGCTAATTATGTTAGGAAAGAGTTGATATATGCATTGTATCCATGGAAAATTTGTATATGATAGAAAAAAACCAATTTATTATAAATATATATATTTGTAATAAGTATTTACAACAGATTAATAGATACAGTTAGTTAAATATCAAATAAAAAACTAAACAAAGCTAGAAAATAACTAATATATGGTAATGAAAAGGTTCATAAACAGTGGAATTCTCTGCACAGAAATTACTATCAGCAAGTAAGCAGGACGAAATAACCAAGAAAAAAGAAAACTAACAAAACACCCTGTCAAGTACACTAAGTGTTTTTGTGTAAACACTCGAACTTCCCGATTGCATACGAATGAATACTTAGACGACCTGAGTGAATATGTATTTTCTTGAAATTTTATTAAGGCTTTTTCTCTCAACAATATTTTACGTTATAAATACACATATAGAGTGATTGCATTAATTCGGAGGATGATAACTGTATGTACAGCTAACTTGGAGTCGCAAAGAAGTAAAAATCAATTCCATAAGATTTCAGAAAATTAACTAATCGAGAAAGGGATTATCACGTATGAAAAATCAGATTTCTCAGATATCCAAATCAATGTATATTCATAAAAGCAATTGCTTAAATTAAGCCACTTATTTAGAATCTATTGTAAGAACACCTTCACAATGCACGAAAAAAATTACCTCCTATTGTATTGGCTAAAGGTGAAGGAAAAGTTTTCATAATTAATGGCCAGCTAAAGCCGATAGTAGATCTGTCTTTTAAGAGATTCAGAAAATAACGAAGTAGCTGGCACAAGCGTCCGTTAGTATTTTTCAGCGTAGAAGATAATTTCGGACTTAAAACAGAAGTAAGTTTTTCAGTTCTCAAGCACGATGATTATCTTTTATTTTCACAATGAACCGAAGTATTTCTTGAGTTATATAAGTACCTTATTGAGTTTATCACCTGTTATCTACTTTAACGATAAAAAAGCGACTTAAGTTGGCTGACTACTGGTGAAGTTGTTAACCAGTTTTCTTTAGATTGTACAACTTGTGTAAGATACATTAATAACACCATCAAGAACCTAATTTATACAGTGACAATGCGCTTCGTTCTTCTGTGCTACTTAGGGGAACAATCAGTGAAAGAATACTTCAGAAGTATGTTAGTCTCTGACTATTACTGTAAATACCAAAATGAGAGTGATACTGAGAAACTTAGCTCTGGATAGCAGGTAGTGACTCGATGATGCGGGGAGAGGATATCAACTTACATACTTGCAACAAAAGTCATGTAAACCGAATAACGAGTGGCATGTACCATATTAGTTGAGGCAAACGTATGATGATGAGGAATTGAAACAGGTTAAATTTAAGTATTGTATCGATTTGAGATCATTCATTTAATTACTACAAACAGCAGAATCCTAACAGGATCAGGTTCTTTAGACAGTGGAAGGTAATGTTTGAACAATAAGTGGTCTGAATCAGAATCAATTTCAAGAGTTTAATCGAATTCACTCAAAACCTTCTTTTTGTTTACCTCTGTTCTTTCTATATCTTTCTTCTCTTTATAGCTGTTGTTAACTATGTCATCTTTACCATCCAAAAACGACCATAAAGGATGCTGATTTGAATAATTAACTAATTTCACATTTCGCATATGATCGCTGTAGAATCCCGACATTATCTTTCTCCACATAAGGTGTTTGATATAAAACGGACCGAAATGAAAGTTAGAGTGTCACTTAAGCATTATTGGTCATACTATTTTACTTACATTGTTTATAGTATCATTCTATAACTCATCTTAGGGACGTTTTAGTGACTTATCATACAATTCCGTACGATTCACAGTTGCAAAATTGATTATCATGCATTATCTCAGTGTCTCTGTTTGAAACCAGTTACTTCATATTATGAAAATATGGTGCGTTATGCAATTCACTTGCATATATGTATGAATTAGATTGCACAACACAAAAACAGGAAGCCGTTAGTCAGTATCAGCATACACTCGACCGATGAAAAGAGCCTAGAAGATCTCGATTTCGCCGATCACGATTTATGTCTAATGTCGCACAAACTCGAAGACCTACAGGCAAAAACCAGCAAGTTGATAGAAAAGGCAGCGAAGACGGGACACCATTCAAGTGAACGTAAAGACAGAGATGATGAATACACCCAACCAACAACAGCAACAACAAACACCAATCGCCGTCAACGGGAGAAATCTAGAGGAAGTAGTCTCTTTCACCCACCTACCTGGGCAGCATCGTTCCAAATACAGACAGCGGAGGCATAGACGAGGATGTCAAAACCAGGATCGGAAAAGCAAGACAGGCTTTCATTAATTTGAAATCAGTGTGGAGATCTACTACATTACACTCAGCATAAAGAACAAGATCCGGATTTTTAACACCAATGTCAAGTCAGTACTTCTGTATGGCTCAGAAACTTGACGTGTCACGAAAAGCATTTCCAACTAACTACAGACATTCATCAACAGCTGCTGTCTACGCTCAATTGACACTGAAGATCAAATGGCCAGAAACAACAAGCAACAAGGAACTCTGGACTGGAAAGGAACCAACCAAGAACCTATCACCCAACAAATATGCAGAAGAAGAAAGTGGAGAAGGATTGGATTGGGCACACACTGAGAAGGCCGACTGAGGACATCACGCGTCAGGCCCTCGAGTGGAATCTAAAGGGAAAATGACAAGTTGGACGTCCGAGGGTGACATGGAGGAGATCATGTGAAGAAGAAATGAAAGCTTGTGGGCAGTTGTGGAGAAAGGTTGAAAAGACTGCAGAGAAGAGAGTGCACTGGAGGCTTGCTACTGAAGCCCACTAGGAACCCAAGGGAAAAAAAATAGTAGTCTGTATCGTCTATTTCATAGTGGTAAGGGAAGAAAGATTTACAACTGAAAGGCTGCAAATGACTCGCCTTGCGTTCAGTTCAATTCGTGAGCAAAGCAAAGCAATCGGAGCGATAGTCAGACAGTGAGGTATGTAGAAAGTCAGAATCACGTGACAGTATCAGAGTCATATTTTGCAACTATCAACTCATATCAGTTTATTTGCTGGTATGACAAATTTGCGACGACGATTTCGGTTCGTTTAAACGTGATATCAAGCTATATCAAATTATTCGTCATAACAGTATACATTATAGGGCAATACTTCATTGAACTTTATGTCCTTATTGATAATCTACTTTTCAGTATACCGTAGCTCGTTTATGAGGATAGTATTTTTGAATGAATAGATAAGTGAGAAAATGAACATACCACTGGTAACTAATGTGCGGTTTATCTACAAGAATAAGTCAATATCATTTCATAGGCTTCCATATAAACTAATGTCCAAGGCTATGATGCACAATTCTGAGAATAAGTGATGTTATCTAGTTGTCTGAGAATGACTAGGTGGAGCTAAGATCAAACGCTTTATCTAGTGGCTGAAGGTCAAGTATCCAATTCAGTAAACTACAACTTTGATAAGCTTCTGCATGTTTTAAACTTTTTGTAAAAATAATGAAGACATTAACGGAATCATATTTTTAGAGTCCTAACGAAGCAGAAAGGAAAATTTCTGTCAGTTTGTTTACTTTAAACATATATTCCTTTGGTTTTTTCAATTATTGTTATCATTGTAGTGGATATCTACACACAAATGATGTTTTTAACTTTGAGTTAGAATCGTGTCAAAGCTGTGATTTCACTAAACAATGGTTATACTATCACGTGTTGAAATTGAAAGAACAACTAACAATTATTGTCTTTTCATTTCAGTCCTGGGATAAACTGTATTTGAGTATTCGCCTGACAATTTTGTAAATGACTATCGCTTTTCTTGAATATGCAAATCCCAGCGCTGAAGAATACTAACAGCTTTGTTGAAGAAATAATAAGTTCAACAAGAGATTAATGCGTAGCCATTTCCATCCAGCTTATGCAACACAATCTAGTAACTTGGCCAAAATCTATCATTTTTAGGAAATGTGTATGACAATGTTGGTTTTCCCATGGTATTATCCGTTTGTCGGCCATTACTAAATTATGAAATTCCTATTGTTATCAAGATAAAAGTCGGAAATTCCTGACAATTTTTGGTACAAACTTCTAACCAGAGGGGAGTTAGTCCAGGTGTTGGAGGACTGTTTCGTTTCTTTTTGGGCAGGCCTATAAACAAGTTGTTGGAATTGGTTCACCTTGAACAACCGGATTTACTAAACCAGTCACTTAACATAAACTGTTGACTAGTGTAACGGTGTAAGAACCTTGTTAAAAGAATATGATATATTACAAATATTTAGTAAGTTTAACTAACCTCACGAATATGGCCCATGATGAATGGTTTGCGAGGATTCATGTGTTCTAGAGCATTTCTCAAATTCTCCATAATTATGTATGTTGTATCATCAGCTTTTAAAAAATAGGCTGCTTTATAAGTTTGAGTATATAATGCACGAAGATTTTCACGCATTGAAACCCATGAATGTTTGTTATAACCACGCGTCCTGTTAACAGCTACGCATAGATAAAATATAAACACAGAAACAACGAATAGTGTAAAAAGAAATCAAAACATTTTAGAAAAGGAAACAACTCAGGAATAGTACGAAGAACGTTACGAAATGATGAACTATACACTATTTCACACCCAGCGGCGACAATTAATCTTACAAATAACTTTCATAGCACATGGTAGTACATGCAGAAGCGATCCCCTAAATGGAAATAATTTAGTCGTTGCTTGTTAAGTGCAACACAACTACAGAAACTCTACCATATATATTAATAATGATGACTGGAACTCAGAACATTTAAATAACACATAGCTTAATTTTCGTTTAGCTGTATCAGTTCAGTAACTTGCCTAAGGAGTCAGTTGGATTAGTGTTGAATGATCGGTTCATAGTGCAAAAATCACGCCACTTGTGTCAGCAATGTACATTGGTACGCCTTATACCACTTAGATGTCGCATCTGTCGTTCAAGGCGGATGAAGTTACAGGTTTCATATCTGACCGTGGGTGTATCAACGAGGTTTTTACTCTCCACCGGGTTTTGGGAAATAGGCACATTTTTTCTTGCCCAACACTAATTGTATTTCTCAGCCTGAAGGCGATATTTAACTCCATCGATCGAGACGCCCTTTGGCAGTGTCTCTCAGTGAAAGGCGTACCTACATAGGACATCGCTCTGTTGATGGAACCACATTCCAACATCCATAGGCGTGTCAGAGCGTACGGTGAGATATTAGATGAGTTGCAAATATCTAGTAGGGTCTGGAAATGATATCCACTCTGATCATTTCTATTTAATTTTGTCATAGATGTACTCGTGTAGGTCTCTTTGGAGGGACCAGTCATGTCAAAGGAAACTTCTCAGTTGAAATAAAGTATGCTAATGAGATAGTCCTGTAAGATGAACGCACTAACGAGATGAAGTCTTCTGAGCACTGAGAGTGAAAAGTTGAGGATGTTGGAAATGAATTTCTCACTTTCTAGGTGCAGATCGTTGCTTCAGGACTACTATGAGTCAATACGTCATCAGACAATACGCAGTCGGTAAGCCGGATCGGCTTCCATAGTTCAGAGACCGGAAAAATTTCTGCATGGAAACAAAAGACTTGATTATCTTCCGTCAACTCACACCACTTATGGCGCGGGTGATGAATCCAACTGTCTATTAAGGGCTGTGTATTGGGCAGCAGTTAGCTTTGTTCCACCGCATGGCTGAAAAATATAGCCATTAAAGGTAGGTGATATAAGAAGGCTTCAGGCGTTCGACTACTGTTGCCTTTGTAGTATAGGCTGTCGTGGTTTTGTCACATCAGTAACGTAAAAGTCAGGTGTAGAGATTTAGGGAGAGGAAATTCAGTCGATGAGGTTGTCAACCTTCATCGACTCAGATAGCTGGGACATGTGTTGTGCACGTCTAGTTACCGTCTGCCTTGTCTCACCATGTTGGGTGAAGTAGGTTTAGGCTGGGAAAAGGTAAGAGCTGGACAGACTAAAGCATAGCATAAGTTCATGAAGTCGCAGATTGTTGGTCTGAGCCCTGTAGGAGGATGCAGACTTCCGGGCTGAGGATCCGCGTGACAACAGAAACCAGTGGATGGGGACTCTAGGTGATATGGTTCGGAATCGATCTCTGTGACACAGACGTATCCACGCATTACATTTTAAACGTCATACTGAATTTCAGTATTCTTTCATTCCTTCTTGCTCTCTTTTGACGACCCTGTTACTTTTCACCGCTTTTTACTTCAGTTTTTATCTTTCGTCGTAGTGCACTCTCGGTTGATGTGCTAATATGAGGTGTAGCAGCTTGAACTGTTATACAGTAGTGCCAGGATCTATATTGACGTTCTTTTCTTGCATGAAACCCAGTGTAGTAAAACAAATACCCTAACAGTCCATTTCATTATAAATGTTAGACATAGTCAAATCCTAGATTTTGTCACTTTTTCTTAGTTCTCCTGGCAACTTTGGCTTCATTTTTGGTTACCGTTACTTGTCATACGCGTAGTGACTTGAATCTAAGCATTATTACTTCACATTGTATGTTGTATCCGCTTAATGGTTATGACTGTTATCGAATATCTCATACTTTGCGTGGACTGAGGTGGAAGGGCCTGTGTAACACATATCAACTACTGGTACATATAAAGAGCTTTGAATTCATCGCCCGATACACTTAAATTAAAGTATGGTGGAACGCTGGAAGTACAAAAAATATGCAGTCAACGGAATCCTTTGAAATGGATTATCTGAGGTTGTTTCTCAGTCACTAGAAGATATATGACAAACGCCTCATAAATGTATCGATGACCATTGTGACAGAACTAATACTTTGTTACAGCTTCTTATGCGTACGATACATTCCCTACATATGAAATGAACTTTAAACATTTGCTTTTTTTAAAACAGTAAGTACTACTTAAACTTGGTTTTATGTAGCTATGAAAGTATAGTTTTACGAAAATTAAACAAAAAAAACGATACAAAAGTAGCAACAACCTTTCAAGCTGTTTTTAAATATTGGCTTACCGAGCATCTTCAGTAGCCTTTCTTCCTTTGAACTGACAAAATTATACCGAGTACATCTCCTAGCCCAAGTTGTTTGAATATGATAAGCCTTTGCTTGATGTGCCCGAGGTTCCGTCAGAATGAAACAATAAACATTCACCTTTTTAGCAAGCTTTTGAGCATAGCTAATATCAGCTGTCAAAAAAGCTTTGTTAGAATTATAGGGAATACTTACTTATGGAGAAAATAGAATAATTTTTTGTATTCCACACCAAACTGCCATCGGATAAACATTTAAATTTTGGGGTACCGGACAAATTGGCAACCCATTTGATCAGAAATACGAATCCCAATCCAACTAAAAATAACTTTACATCATTTAATCGAAATTTCGACTGAAAAGGTTAGCATGAAATGGGAGAGGCCTTACCAAGTTATGCGCCAACTGATTAAGACAACTGAGTTTTGAAACCATCCGAGATCAGACAATAAAACCCTGCAATGGGATGATATAATATGTACCTCTCAAGTAACAGAAATCAAGTTTTCATCAGACAAACCAAAAGACGATCAGATAAAAAAGATTCTCTTGGAGTTATACGCAGTTAGTTTGCTGAAAGATCTAAATGGAAATAAGGCTTTATTATCAAGTAGATGACAACTAACCCCGCCTTTCGCATAAAATAAACATGGCAATACCTCATTTAAAAAAAAACTGGCAAGGCAAAACTTTTGTTAGTTCCAACTGAGATTCCGCATATTATACTAATCGGAAAGACTTCTTATATCATTCCAATGGTATTTAGAAACTACAACGTACGGAGACCATGCCTAAGCACGGAAAAACTGCCTACAGTCAACTTGGGACCATGTATTGCAGTTTAACTCACACCAAAGTGCCAGTGAAAAGTAGTAGTCACAGCGAGCAACTACGACAGAAAATATAGATGCCTCTGGAAGTGATCTTAATTTCACCTTCTTGTAGGCCACTTTCTGCTATACTGGTCAGTTATACTGATTTTTTATTCTTTTATATGTCATATACCATATTATTTATTCGTTCCTTGTTAAAGATAGTTATTTTGGGAGATCTTTATCGCAAAAAGTTATTCCTACTTACAGAATGATGTACATTGTCAATTATTTCAATGTGTCGGTAATTTATTCCGTTTCACAACAGCTGAACGACGACGTGATTGCCAATAGTGTTGGCTACGGCTGTAGCATCTAAATTTTCCTCTGCATCGGTCTATGGGAGCTAATAATCGTGAAAAGGGTCAGTCGGTACAACTTACCTGAAGAAAGCATAAACCGGTTGAATACATTATTTGTATAATGGGAGCACTCAAAACAGAAACATTTGACATGAACTACACACAAACTGAAGACCGTAAAGTTAGCATATCTCTAGGATTGAATCATGCAGGTTAGACTCGGTTATTACATAACGTTAATACTGTGTGATGATTTAAAGTGAAATGAAAATTTGGACCGCGGCCCGACTCGAACCAGCGACCACCGGGTTACCGGCCAGGTGCTCTACCAAATGAGCCATGAGGTCCGACTGCTGACCAGATTTTTATTTCACTTTAATCACCAAGGGTTTTGTCCGACTTCTGTCTGAATTCGTGATGCGTAACCACTGCTTGATCGTATTCATATTGGCTGTCTAGTCAGGACTTCTAATCCTAATCCAAATGTAACTGAATTAGAGAGAAGGAGCATCATACTAATTATCATTTTGACTATCTGGGATAGTCGTGGTTTGGGAGACTAGTACTGGTACTGGATGATGATTGAAGATGGAATGAAAATTTGGACCACAAACGGACTCGAACCAGCGACCACCGGGTTTCCGACCCGATGCTCTACCAACTTAGCTACCACCCAGTATCAATGCTAGGCTGCAAACCACGGCTATCTCAGGTAGTCAAAGCGATACTATATAACGCATTCGTAACCTACATATTATTAGTTCATAGTTCATCAAATACTGTTTATAACCCATCTAAAACGTCTTCCATCCAATTCCAAGATGTGAACTACCGATCATATTTTCCCATCCGACAGGTTCTCGAACATAGGCATACCTACCGACAACCGACACTCGCCACATTTCTTAACCTAAGGGCGGCATAAAGCTTCTTCAATCATGGAGGTGGTGATAGTGTGACTGTGAAGAGAGTACCAAGCAAGTAGATAGCGCAGTCATGTAAGGGCTTATGGAGTTTTCATCTGTATTGATGACATCTAGCGGTGTCCACCAAGGATATCCATCATCACCGTTCCCATTTAACTTAATCATAGACGTACTAACGGACATAACCTTAGGTACGTCTGACTTCACAGGGGTCGACCTACTCTCTGGAAGTCATCTGGCTGACTTGGAGCATGCAGACGATATTGTTCTGCCGGGTGCAGGGGCTGACAAAATGCAGGGTCCATTGAAGTCGTTGGACAGAAATCTGAGCATGTTTGACTGGCGTGCATTTCGCACCTTTCGAATGTAAGATAATGCACCAGGACTGGTCTGCAACCATTCCTAACTCAAGGATAGGGAGTCAGTGGATTGGTGGAATGTGTGTACCACTTTACTTACTTGAGTTGACGAAATCTCAGCTCGGATACAGAAGGCCAGTGTAAAATTCGCCAACTTGGATCATTTATGGAGCTGGCGAGATATTCGCCCATCTGTCAAAGGACGAGTATACTGGGCTGCAGTTCGTCCTGTCCTGTCCTATAATTCGGGTTTGAGACGGTAGTTAAAAGTAGAAAACATGAAGCTGTTACACGGTTTTGATCAGAGATATCTTTATATCAATGCTAGCGTTTGGTGGAATTACCGTGTGACCAGTGTTGAGGTCAGGTAAAGGGTACCAAGCAAGAAAGACAAGTCGATTGATGTTGTGAACCTTAGTCGACGGCGATGGCTTGGACATGTACTGTGCATGCCGAGTCACCGCCTACCTCGAAGTGCTATGCTAAGGGAAGTTGAATTAGGTTGGAAGAGGGTTCAGAGTGGCCATACCAAGACCTGACACCAGTCAACGAAGTTCCTTACTATTGGCCTGAGCCTTGTGGAGAGACGTAGACCGCCTGGTTAGGGTACCCGAGAAGAAACGAGTCAGTGGTTGAGGACTTTTAGTAACACGGGTGGAAATAATCGGTCGAAATGGTGCAGATGTATTCATTCTTTGACATCTAAAGCTTGAATATTTGCACTAACCGTTATCTTCAAGTTGTTTATTCTCACACAACTTCGTCTACTTTGATAACACTTTTCATCAACCTGTTTTTTGTGTACTACTATTAAGTGTGACTTGAGCCGATGCACTTGTGTGTGCGGTTCTACATTGCTCTTGTCAGTCAGTCGGTCGGTTAATAATGGAGAAGTTTCGTTCACCTTCATCGATATATAAAGACCACTCAATGTATATGGATTAGCAAATACTAATGATATGACTCGGTAAACACAGACAAGCTGTAATGTTACAAGTCATACCCACGTAATCGTCAAAAGATGATAGGCAACTTGAAGCACTAGCAATGACCGAAACAAAAACCTATACGACAACGATATTCATTTTAAAGCACAAAAAAATTGGTATCACGCATCAATCGCATAGTTACGCGAATGAAGCGATCTAATACGGTTTCGACTGACCTTTTCGCTAACAATAAACATATCAAAGTTATAAGATGTGGATAATAACCCAAAGCAATAGTCATTCAGTCATTGCGGGGAACGGAATGAATCTTCAATACGCTAGAAAACTTAATTGACTTACTTTCAGCAAACAGGAAGTCACGTTACATTCAGGCGGCCAGTCCATGCCTAAAAACGGATCCTGACGTACTCAAGTGTGTTCAAAAGGTAGGTACTAAGCGTGTGGCAGGTTTTTCGAATCTGCTAAACGAGGAACGATTATTCCTGCTGTCTTACCGTAGGAAACGGGGTGATCTCATACTGGGATTCCGTATCTTTAGTAATGACTTCGGTACTGATATATCCTGTCTTTTCTCTCCTTCTAGGATTGATTATCTCCGATAGCATTACAAGAAAACTAAAAAACCACCATCGAACCAACTTAGCGTGAATCTGCGTCTATCCCATCGTGTGGTCAACAACTGGAACTCTACCTCAGAAGTAGTATCAGCAACTCCAGTCAACGCGTTCGAGGAAAAACAAGATCTTCGCAGAGATATCCTCTGCAAAAATTAACACGGGCTAACTGGTCTACTATCCTTATCACTGAAAACCGAAGCAGGATATTACAGTTGCTAGTATCTATGACAACAAAAATTTCCAACACTACGTTTAGTGATCAGAAATGATCGTTTCATTTATACGAATAAATAATGTAGTTCACAATCAAAGAACGAACAAGAAACGAGTATGACCAACCAATATGTTAAAAAAATGACCTACAAGAGGGTGAACTTTAGTGAACCACAGAAACTGCCGGCATTGCATAGAGGCCATACAACGTAAATAAGGTATACCTTTATTCATGCTGCGTCATTAAGGCGCACTTGTATTTAACTTGAGCAGTAGGCTACCGGTAGTGAAACATCTAAATTCTTTTCTGAGGTCGTTTCGAGAGGAGCAATAATAGTGCAGATTTGTATGTATTTTATTCTACTAGGATTGAGCAACTGTCGACAGTCAGATCTCACTACAGTTACCGTGCATCCAACATTAATAACGCGAGTAGAGGAAACTTGTAGTTTTTGAGCTCTCGCTTTTAGGTCTTCAAGTTCGGTTCGTTTTGTTCGGTTGTACTCCTTCGGTGGTCGCAGAAGTCTTTGCGTTTTTCCTGCTCATAGCTTTGGAAATAGCGATTGTCTATCTGAAGGTTTTTTTCTTACAAATTATAGCTTGGTTTGTTTGGAGGGGAGGGGAGGGGGGGGCAACGGAGCTGCTGATAAGACCAATTAACCTTTTGCAATTCCTGTTTTTGTAAGCACCTGCAAACAAGTATTGAGTGTTACTTAAAGTGATAGAAATAGGGTGTGGCGAATGAGAAGAGTGAAAAGTGCTTATGGAAAGACGGGTGCTACTGGTAATAATATGGAGAAGGGATTCGTTTATTGCAGATACTAGGGTTGGGGAATACAAGGATGGAAGAGCACGTCATCAGTTGCTACCGACAAATGTTCGTGGTAAGTCATTTACGCTCACGTACTTATTCAGTAGTCGTTCGAAGGAGTCGGCTGATGTGACTGTGGCTAATTCTTTCGACAGAGCGTTCCATAAAGTACATACTGTGTGAGAAGTTTGATCTCACTCTCGTCTTTGCCCTATGGTGGGGTATGCGAGTGGGGCTCCCACGTGACTGTCGGTTTTAGGCCTGTAATATTGACCTATTTGGGTGATCCACTCGGTGATCTTGTAGGACGTTATCAGAATACTTCGTTTTGTTCGCTAGCTTAACGTGAATAAGTTGATTTCCCTGATGCGTCGTGCATATGTTTTGCCTATTAGTCCGACAACCGACCTTGTCGCTCTCCTCTGTACCTAGAGAGTATTTGCGTCTCCCTTTAGTAGTGCGGGTGGGGGTTGTCGTGTTGAACACCTCTATGTGTGGTCTAACATAGGTTTTAAATGACATGAGGAATGACTCTAGGGTTAACCATTCAAGCCGCCTTCTTAGATGGCGTTTGCCTTTGCTGCCATTCATTTATAATTGTCAGTAGTATCTAGTGTGTCAGAAAAGTTTAGTCCTAGGTCCTTCTCCGTGGATACCCTGGTGATTGCACACGTTGAGTGTAGCTGGTTTTCATCTCCTTTAATGTGCGAGCACATATCACCTCGGATTTCCCCAAGTTAAAGCTTAAATCATTTACAGTTGACCCGGACTTCAGCTGCAACAGGTCGTTTTAGAGTATTCTAGGATCCTTTTCCTTACCTTTTGTCCTCCATATTTTGATGTCGTCGGCAAATAGAAGGATAGACAAAATTTCAGTGGGAAGGCCATTTATGAATAGTAAAAATAGGAGTGGTTTAAGGATCGCTCCTTGAGAAACTCCTGTTTTTGCATTCCTCCAGGCTGATCGAATTTTGTTTACTTTAGTATAGAATTCTCCGCCCTTCAAGTACGCTATAAACCATCCTATGAGTGGTTCAGTGATATCCACTTTTAGAAATTTAGCGAGCATGGTGAAGTGTGGGATGCTATCGAAAGGTTTGGCCAAGTCCAGGCAGACAACGTGCACTGATTACTTGTTGTCCCATCTAGCAGTCCAGTCAATCCAAGCGGTCATCAAATTTGTGGCACATGACCGTCCGGTTATGAAGCCATGTTGGGTGGAATGAACGATGTTGTTTCAGTTGAGGTGGTCGCAAACAACATCTGCAACCAGGCTTTCCAGTAACTTGGATAGTATGGGAAGTAATGCTATTAGTCTGTTACTGTACGGTTTTTTTTCGGTCTCCTCCGTTGAAGATTGGTGAAAGGATAGCACGTTTCCATTCTTTGGGGAGTTGACTTACTTCCAACGAGTGCGTGGACAGGTTGCATATGGTTATGCTTAGCACTTCAGCATAATTCCATAGGACCACCGGTCTTGTCGTCACAACCATGTGATTTCCCTATTCTTAGTGTTGAAAGTTTCGCAGACACTTGGCTTGACGAAATTTTTACGCTCATCAGCTTCGTATCGCAGTCCTTGAACTTCGTTACATTACTAGATGTTGATAGTGGATGGAACACTGTGTTGAGTTGCTTGTCAAATCGGCTGCTCAACAGTTCTATCTCGCTGCTGTCCAAAGGTTCTCCGGCCGGTCCTGTGATCAGGTTTAAACCTTTATTCGTCGGTTTTCGTTGACATAAACCGAGATAGGCTTTTCGCATTGTAACTTAGCTGTTTGGCCAGGTTTTCCTGGTATGTGTACCTGCCATAACGAACTCTTATACCACATAAGTTGCGTAACGTCTTGTAGCTAAAAAAGTCTGACTCTTCGTGTGACGTGGCCCACCGATATCATGCCTTCTTTTCCCTCCGTATCTGCCTTTGGGTTGCGCGAGTTACCCAAGACCTTTTAAGAGGTGGCCGTCTGATTAGTTTCGGAACACTTTCCGATATCGCTCAAGATAATTTCTTTAATATGTATCCAGTGTTCGTCTATCGACATTCAGTGCCATGCTTGTAGCCATGTAGCCTCCAGGAGTTCATTGATTATGGGATGGTAGTCTGCTTTTCGGTAACAGCGGAACGCTTCTGGCTCAACTACTGGTAGTTTCTCTTTGGTTATCAGAGAGAATCTCATCAAGGCGTGGTCGCTTTTGTTTATAGGGGAGGGGGGGGGGTTGGACACATCGTCCACCAAAAGATAATCATCTTTTAGAACGCAGTCAAGTGGTTATCCTTTTCCATCTGGTGTTTTCTCCAACTTTCTCTGTCAATCCTGCTGCCACAAACGTGTTTCGAAGTCTGTGTTTAAAAGACTTATGTCCACATCTTACTTCACATCCCGGGTTGAATGCCGGTGTGTTGAATTTTCCAGCAAGGACTACATGGTCATAGGCTGCCGAAGTGGTTGTCGAAATGGCGTTGAGCAATTGTGCCTTAAGCGCTGTTGTGCATAGAAAAGGCCTATATACTACTCCGAATAGGTACTTAGTTTGGTTTATGGTGAAATAGCGCCATAAAGAGTCTGGCAGTAAACTAAACATACTAACGGACGCCTCCTTGGCTTTTACGAGAGTGCTAATGTGCATGGCAACTCCTCCGCCTTCTCTGAACTGCCTATCTTTTCGGAACAAGGTCATGTTAGGCAAAGATGTTTCCTGATCCACGGTGTCTGATGACAGCCATGTTTCCGTAATGAGAATTATGTTTACTGGCAGATAATAGCACACTGTTCTTAGCTCCAGTTGTTTACTTCTAAGGCCTCTTACATTGTTGTAGAAGCATATCAAGAAGATACGTTTCGGGCTTAGTGCGATACGGGAATTTGTTTGGCGGCTGGTGTGCTGCTGTTGCGGATTCTGACTGCCAGTCCAGTAGGGACTGGCAAACCTCCGTTTTTTGGTCTCTCCTGGCATCCTCGTGTTGGTGTGACGGTATTGTTCATTATGTTTATAGGCAGTTCACTAGATAGTTCTTTTGTGGCTGGTATTACTTGTAGTGTTCTTGGAGGTTGCCTCCTATCTTCCAGTCTAACAGATCGCGGTTTACTTTCGCAGCATCGTACAGCACCCGTTCGATCTTTTACACGGTACCATGCTGTGAGTGATGGCTTGGAGTCAAAGCGTACAGCTGGCAATCTTGGTGAGGAAATGCTCTGTAGATGCGTAGGTCTTGGTAACCTACTTACGCTGCTGGCAGGCAAATTCTCAGGTCCCATTTTTGCCGCTAGCCACCCACACTGTTCGACATCAAGGATGTAATAACCACATTTAGTGGATCCACACGCCAGTTTGAGCATTTCATGCACCACCATGTTCGCAGCTTTGTATAGATCACTAAGTAGGGATTTTCTCTCCGCCTCTCTGGTGACGCATGGTTTATCTGGTTTCACCCTTATGACGCAGGAGCCTGCGATGTCTGGTCGGCGCCACAGCAGTGGTATATTCTCCGACTACTTCGCTGTCATCGATGATACCCTGAGGTGTCGGCTTGTCCCAAGGTGCTCTACTTTCTCAGAAGAGCTAGTATAAGTTAATTGCAGTGGTTTCTATTCTTAACTCCTCCCACTAGTCGTCCTATTTCTTGTCAGACTGCTCTTTTTTTCCTAACAATGAGTCTGTTGGTGTAGGAACAATGAACAGAATGATGGAATCCCTTCTCTTGTACCGTGGGTGCGGGATATTGGGCTTGGTAGCCAATACTTTTAGCCTAACCTTTACGCTACTTACTTCCATCCATGCGTCATCGCACAACCCATTTCTTCAGGATGTTCAGTTACGTCGGGTCGTCTGCACTGCATTGATGCAAGTGAAGACTTTGTTGGTACCTCATTAGGAGTGGGAACCAGTAGTTTCCTGTGTCTAGAGGTGACAAACCTGAACACTTGTGGAGCTTGACGTTTCTGAGGGTAGATTATGGGAGCTCGTGCTTTGTAATATCTTGGGCTAAATCAGGTTTCCCAGTTTGCTGGTGGTGACAAGGTAATTTCCAACATTCTGGGCATATGCACAACATCCACATACATGGAGGCTTCCTCATGAAGCTGTAGTACTAACCTGGTATACCATTATCACATTTAGTGTGCCTATTTTAGACAGAAGTTGTACGTAAAGGTCTCTTGAGCCTCTAACACTGATTGTTTGCAAACGCCACGGTCATCAGAGGTTTGCTTTTTGTTGAAGACTGAGTGGTTTGCCTCCTATGAGGTGAGGTCAAACATCGCTTGTGTCGTTATGTTCGTCAGTCGACATGTGCGTATTCCCCGTGCTTCATTTCTTACCAACGGTATGTTTGGGAACGTGTCACTATCACTCGGACTACATGAGTTTACCGTTTCGGTAAATGCTGTGTGACAGTGCTACAGGAATCCTGCACCGTGTGGTCATTGATGCGCTCTTTTCTGCACACACTAGATTCTGTTCGCCTGCAGACCTTACTATACAATTTAGAGCTTGTGACCTAGTTTTCTGTATAACTATCAATAATTGGTTTTAATGATATAGAGGACAAGGAGAATAAAACGTCAGATTGCTTACCAGAAGGAACTTGATACTCGGTTTCTCTCACTTTATCAGCAACTTTAACCGGATGCTCCAGGTGCGTATGTATAGACCAAGAGAGATATTTCTTGGTGAATGGTCCCCGAAGAGAGACAGAAAAAATAGCAGTTGGACGGTCCAGATGATTACGAATCACCAGCAGGAAGCACCTCCGAGTTAAGAAGATAGCTAAGCAGCGGTTCCCGCGTCCAATTGATTTCTTGAATGGGGTTCACTCTTACGATACGGTTGACAGCCGTTTATCGGTGATAAACAACGTAGTATTGCCTCTAGGTTGGAGATGAACAAAGCACGACGTTACTACCACGCGCGCATGCAAATTATGATTTTTGGAGAGTTTGAGAGCTGGAAAGTTTGCACTGTAGACAACCTGATAGACTCGTATGGATTGCAGTCATTTTGGGTAATTTGGGCAGACTTACGAAGATCTAGGGAAATTGGGTTAGCCCCCAGACTTTCGGGAAAACCCAGGGTTGCTTTGTGACCTTGGGAACGTAACGCTGCCTAGAGGTCAATATCCAATATCCAATATCTTTATAACGAGCTTGTGTAAACCAGTTGATTTCTTCACGCTCGCTTCTTGGTCTTGCGGAACGGCTCCAGATCTTTGACGGATTCCGATGCAGTAGGTCCAGCCACTCATCTGCTGTAGCTCTGATTTACAGAACAGGAAGTTGTGTTGGTTTGTTTGCCTTGGACTGTGGTGCAGTTGGCTTCTTCAGATGTCGAGTTGCAGACAGTTGTCAGGACTAGTCGCTAGAGAGGGTTGGGGATAGTGGAGAGAAAACCTAGAAAGTGTCTGTGTGAGTAGAAGAAAAGAGGAAAAGTGAACTAGTAGAGTAATCTACTTACACCCAAGTAAGGTGAGTAGGGGTGCAAAGGTATGAAGAACTTAGGTAAATGAGGCCAACTTATGTCAAGTGGAAGGGGTGAAAAGGGCTTAAATGGTTACAATAGAAAGAAAACTGGTTGGGGTGGCTTGACATCACTTCACGTTCCAGCTATGCGTGGGTAGACCGTGAGTCTCTGCATGACTGTCTAGCCTCTTCCTGAAGCTTTCAACAGTTGGGGCGGAGACCACCTCTGCTGGTAGTGCGTTCCACTACCCACAGACTCAGAGGGAGAAGAACTGTTAACGCACATGCGTTTTTGACCTCTGGTGTGCTATTCTATTGGGGTTTCCTCGAGGATCTCCGTAGTGGCCACTAGGTAGGACTCCTCTGTTTGGGTGACTTGGGTCAAGCTTCAACCTGATTTGTGATGCTGTTACATTATTGGGATATGAAATAGTGGTGCTTCACCCAGAAATTATTTATCGTTTGAAACCTTTGACTGGAAGGAACGGATTCAACCATTCAACGTGCTTTCATTGCAGCGATAATATGGAGTAAAATATCCGCTCGTACTGTTCGCATTTGCATTAGACGTGACAGTAGGTGAGGTTGTGTTTCTTGTCTTCTGGTTTCCATTTTGTGGCCATGTGATACTTCTTCCGACTCTTGTCACGTGGGGATCTTATTTGCAAACGTCTAAAGTGAATAATCCTTATTTTAGATGCAGACATATATGGACCCCGAAATAGTTTCGGTTGCGATGTATTAAGTATGAATGACTGTGGCCATGGTAACACCGAAACACGGAAAGATGGTTGGCGAAGGCGTAAGCAAGGTTACAGAAGGCGTAAGAACATCAGTGTTTTCACTTAGTACTTTTAGCGCGATTACAGTTTCAGCTCCCCTGCCACAGCCCCACATTTTACCATGTTATGCAGAAACGCAGACGCCACCTGACTGTTTTAGTGCCGGGTACTTTTTATGGCATTCTTAACATGCACTGGGGACCTGTCACCACTGCAACAGTTGTCGACAGATAGCAGCTTCTGGCATTTGATGCTCAGTCCATTTGGAAGCAGCGCTCCTGAGGTTACCGGCTGCGAACCTGTGTCCAAGATGGAAGTTCTACCCGACGTATTTGACAGTGATGGAGAAAAGGGAAGTAGACTGCAGTTTGATGAGCATTCACCTTCGGAGGGGTTTGTAGAATTATTCACCTTACTAAAGTGAGCAGAGCACAAGCAGAAATTGTGCCGTATGGTGTCACGTCCTTTTCATGCGCAACTACAGATGAGGCTACAAACACTTATGCAAACTCCCAGCAAACCGCCTACAAGATGCACTATCACTGTAACTTAGGTACACATAAGTCCCGGAAAAGAAACTAGGGGCAGCGTTACCAAGTTTCATTTCCTAATGTCAATGAATGAGAAGTGAGTGTACTTGAACATGGACGGCACCCAGCTTTTCACTTATTGCAAATTACAATTGAAGCAGGTTATGGAAAGGACTGTCAACCCAAAGGTTGGTGGTGTTTTTGTAGTGGGTGTATACTGTGATCTCGGTAAACTGGAAGGTGTTAATTAATTCCTAAGGTCACTACAATATGGGCTCAGATTTAGGCGAAAGCACTGGTGCCCTTAAAATGGTCATAGAGAAAGTAACCTGTGGTATGCAAACATAAGGGAAGCTGCATGTCACATTCAACTACACATGGTAAACTACGTATAGAGGGCCGCTTCAGGCGAATGTTGCAGGTGCAGGATCACAAGCATATGTCACTCTCCGGAAAGCTGCCCCTGGACATGATAATTTCTTTTCGATGGACCCTATGCGCCTGTTACGCTTGAATGTCGCTCAGAAAATGATGAGGAGCTGGCTTGTTCTAGGGTTGATAGGATGAACAACCACGTTATAGATGCAATTACTACGAGATTGGTAGGTTCCCATGGACTGACTCCTAGCGTAGGTGTAGACCTTTATCTCAAGTCAATCGGTGGAGAGTAATGGAGAGTAGGATTTCTCCGTTATATCTAGGTGTGGTGTACTCCAAGGGGATTCTAACAAACTTTCCTCTAGGACAGCTCCTTCGAATTATGTCTAAATGCCCACCTACTGCGTGACAAGGAAAGTTGCTTTCGCCACATCACTTGGGTAAAGCCGATAGCAAAATTTGCGGCTAAGTTTTATGCTATTTTCGAAGTGGGAAACATGGTGCATAACGTTCGTGATATGTTGCATTTGCTTGACGATGTAGCGAACCATGGTTCGCTTGAATCATTCTCATGCTTCTCATTTGAGTCCTGCATACACTTCCCCGAGCAGTCGGCAAATGGGTCCAAATGATTCAACTGTTCACATGTGTAAGCATATTTCAGAAGGATGCGAGGTTGCGAATGGAGGCCTTTTGGGCTACTTAGAAAGCGCATGCTTATTGTCTTCCACGGGGAATATCTGGCAGGCGGACTAACCAGAGTCCATACGGACAATAATAGTGAGGGAAATGTACATGCGGGCTCCTGTATTGTGCAGAAAAGGGTTTTGTTCCTAACGTCTACAGTTCCTAGCATAATTCGTCTTTGGGACTTTTCCTCTGTTATGGAATTTGCACATACATAGGATGCGTACACACTATTGGTTATTTTGTGGGCGGCTGCCATGTCTGTAGTGTTAAGTGTTTGGGACACTAGCGTGAAAATCGGGAAGTTTGTAATTGCAATTAACTTTTAGGTAAAAGTTTCTGGCTGACCTTAGAATCTTTGTTTAGGCGGACTTCGGAAGTTTCGGAACTTTGGGGTTGAACTTTGGATGAACTTTGACAGTTTTATCAATTTCAAAACAAACTTTTGACAATTTTGGGGAGGAGGATGCATTGTCTACAATACGCCACAAGTATTTTCCGCTGGTTTTTACCTATGTTGTCAGAGTGAGCCCACAGCTTTTTTGAGCTGGATAGGGAATCAAGCCGTATCTGCTGCTTGTTTGATCAAATGGACGTGATGTATTTCAGCGTGCACCAGTAATCTGATAGTCTTATGGACCGATCTCACAGAATTGTTAGGCTCACAGCCAACACTTACCTTAGCTGCAGTTCGGAGACCTCGGGCCCAAAAATACTTCGAGCGCACTTGCCCAGTCGTTGGGCAGCCCCATAAATTTCACAATGATTTCTGTCGCACCTCTCGTATGGGGGGGTCATAGTATGCAGGCAGCTTGGTTCACTCGTCCCGGAATACTTTCACACCATTTTCCGATCCCACGTATGGCCACACCAGGAAGTTTTGAGTACGGTGGCACCACTAAAGCTTAACAAGGGCTTCAAAACCCTTAGGAAAATACGAAGATGTTCAACAAAGTCGGGTACGGGACTGAGGAGGAGAGCATATCCTGAAAGGCTGAAACAACCGAATCTACACACTTTGGGCTATTACGGAAAGTGAGTTCACCTTATTAGATCATCCACAAGGCAAGTCAGGCGAAAGAAATGACCATAAATGCAAGGCGGTGGTCGTCACGAGGGAGCCCCTTCAGGATGGAAAATCAGAGAGCTAATATCAAGCCCAAGTCCAACTTATTCCCTCTAAGAGCAACTGCTTTATGAAATGATTTATGGCGGCAAGTGATCACAGCCCTCTCAGCAGTTTCATTCAAAAGACAGTTAGATAGTTTCATCATTTCATAGAGCCTCAAGCAAAGTCACATGAGGCATTACTTACCTCACAATCACGCCGCCAATTCCTTTCCATTAGCCAATCATCATCCCTCTGGCTTATACACCTACATCAACTAATAAATTTTTTCTAGTAACTAAACGCACCATCAGCATCCACATTATAGGTGAGTCCAACGTAACTTTTCCCACTAGTCTGCTATTCCATTTCGGGCACTCACGCAGACGGGAGTCACGAAAGACCAATGGTCATCGAAACAAACTGAGGCTCACTAACCATCCCAGTATAAAAAATGCGGAAAATAGTCCGAAGAAGCGGTCACATCACCGATACAAATGCATCTGTAGCTCAGTGTAGCGAGACTCGGAGGTACTCAATTCTAAGCTAACGGGGTTACAGGTTTAAAACCCTTTGCCTACCCTTGAACAAATTAGGTGGTAGCGTCAAGTGCAGTTTTCAGAGCCACACAAATGAACTTATACATGGGCTAGATTAAATCAAACCCATGAACTGTTATCGAAAATTAACAACAATGCTCAGAAAAAATTGCATAGACCACGTATTAGGCTAATCAGTAGTGGCAGCTACGAAAGTTTGTGACGTTGTTTCTAGCCCTCACTGGATTAATCGGTTACGAAAATAAAATGCAATTTTCAAACGTCCTAACTGCTTCGCTGCTGCGTCTAACAAAACATAAACCACTGCTCGTTATCTGATCTCTTTGCAGATGCTTATTCATACCCAAACAAATCTTTATGGAAAATGCATCACAGTTACTGTTAAACTCCGTCTAAACGAATTACGTATTTTCATGGGACAATAAACCGTCAATAAAACAAACGTAGCATTGAGAATAACCCTTATCGTTAGGCTTTGCATACATTCTATGCGTAACCACTTACTTCATTTCCTACTAAATATTTTGATCACTGAATTATATTTGACGAGGAAACGATTAGGTTGATTACGAAACCTCTATCCGTGCAAATGAATGACTGATAATAATCATTCTATTTTTAAAAATTACCTTTTCAAAAATATCAGTTGCATCTGTCGCATAGTAATGATAATATAAACGATGCAAATCAACGGGGTACATGTACGTTTACTTGACCATAGAGCATATTCAGGGGCCTACGATACTATCTAGTTGAAGTAGGTGGTGCAGGGCTGCAGCCATGAACTCGTCTTGGAAGCTGAGAGCCGAAGCCGATGAATCGCATACTCTCGTATATTACCTTTAAGAGTGGGAATTTACTTAAAGTTATGTCATAAGTGCAAAAATGTGGTGTGTAACGACCAGCTGCTAACAGGTTTTCGCCTGACATATGAATACTTTATCGCAAGAGACAAGTGGAAGAGTGTACATAGGTTTGGCGGTGGCAGCTCACTGAGCTAACAAGGGAATCGAGAAGGTTTAAAAGGAGGACGCGAGCTGACGGCTCAGCAAGCACAGAGGATGCCCTGGCATTTATTGGTAAAAGGCAACCGACAGGCGGTAACGACCACAACGAGGTGGGGAATTCTGGAAATTGAAACTAGAAAGTAAGGTTTCGAAAGCCTTACACGCACAGAACACAAACTTCATGAAGATTTCTTTTCAATTCTAATATAATCCCAACCAACAGGAATTTTGGAGGCAAAATATCTTCCAAACTAATAAAATAAGTAAAATATCTTGCCTTTGGCAGCGTATATAATATCATCGTCATATAGTGGATCGATGTTGTGGACTTCTCTCAAGATCCAAGATCGACTGAATTCAGACTCCGGTGAGATTACAATATCAAACTTTACTGAGGGTTTTAAGTACAACGTTTTGGGAAGTAGAAGGCAAACGTCTAACGATGGGCAAACCTGCAGATAATGTAAAACCATGTAAAACCGAGAAACTAACCTTATAAGCAACTGTGTAACACAATGTAACTGTCTTTTTCCAATAGATAAAATTCAACGGACTATGTGGAACCGCTAAAAATAGCTTCTCATTCACCACATTCTTGGCATACTTCAATAAGGACGACAATTTTTGGGGATGCACATGAGGTGATAAGATTAGTAAACCGGATCGGTACATAGTGGATAGCATACGACAGCCTTTCTGATGTCAGTTACTTGCAGGAAAACACGGGCACAATATTCATCAGAAACTGATATTGAGATTCACCTACGATACAGGTAAAAAGCGCGTCGAAAAACGACGCAGAAACATGTGTAAAATGCAGTTCCTCAAGTTGCTACCTCGTAAATAATGATATGAGAAATCTGTAACCTCGATGCTAAAAGAGCTGAGTCAACACCAATAGGAGCATATGAGTTTCGTTAAGGTTCCAGAAAAGAATATTTCTTGTAACTGCCCAATAGTCTCACAGCTCACTGACTTATTCTACACGTGTTACAGAGAGAAATAGATATCTGATGATGGCCCGAAAATATTATTTCAAAACTCAAGCATAAAAATAAATCTTTGTAAGCTAAGTTCATTCCTAAGGCCGGGATGTTGCAAACGAGAAGTGTAGAACCGGGGTATTAGGGTTATTTACTTTTTTATGTTGGTCTTTTGTTGAATATCTCGCGCAGTACTGCGCGAAACACTGTTTCACTAGTCCAATATGCATTACATCTGACCCCACATCAGATTCATGACCCAGCAGTGGGGTACGACTCTGATGTGGGCCAGATATAGAACATATGGAGCCAACTGTTGGGCCACAATGCTAGTCAGGCGAAACGTCAGACCAATGGGGCGAACTGTCGGGCCTAAAATTTGCATGCTGGGCCAGATGTCTAGCCATTTGTAAAAGTATAGAGCTAGACGTAGGGCCAGATGTGATAGGTATGGGGCTAAATGTGGGACCAAAGAGCACTGGGCCAGGTGTAGGGAAAATGTTCCAGTCTCAGTTTTCAGCTATAAAGGTAGTAGGCCAGTTGGCTTATGCTAATTCTTGCAGAAGATATCTCTGTGAAGATCTAGTTTCTCCTTGAACGGGTTGACAGAAGGTCCTGATACTACTTCCTGAGGTAAGGAGTTCCAGTCGTTGATTACACGATGAAAGGAACGCAGATTTACGCTAAGTTAATTCGATCGAGGTCTTAGAATTTTCTTGTGATGCCTTTGGAAGTAGTCAATCCTAGCAGGGGAGAAAAGATGGGACATATCAGTACCAAAGCCATTATTAAGGATACGAAATGCCAGTATGAGATCACCCCGTTTTCTACGGTAAGACAATGGGAATAAGTTTAGCCGATTAAGTCGTTCCTCATAGAACAGATGTGAAAGGCCTGCCACAAGCTTAGTACCTACCTTTTGAACACGCTCGAGTACGTCGGCATCCCTTTTCAGGCATGTGCTGGCCGCCTGAATGCGGTATTCCAAGCGAGGTCTAACCTAAGTAGGATAGAGTATTCTGAACATGTCCTGATCAAAAATTTTGAAAGCTCTGCGGATGGACCGTAATACGCGGAAGCCCTTTGCTACGGCTGCATTACAGTTCGCTGAGGTTTTCAAATCATGACTAATGATGACACCTAAGCCTTTCAGTTAAAAGTCGGGGCGTAGTGGTGTACCATCAACGGAATACTGAAAACAATTGCTATAACCAATGTGCATTGTTTCACTTTTATTAGAGTTGATTCCCAGGCAATAACGTTTAAGCCAACCTACCAGTTCATCCAAATCCGGTTGAAGTACATATCTATCCGCATCACTGCGTATGGCTCTCCAAATCTTTACACCATCGGCGAACAGCAGCACCGCAGAGTTGAGCATTTTTAGCAATTCGTTGACACATAACAAGAAAAGTAGTGAACCTAGGATTGTTCCTTGAGGAACTCCACTCACCACAGGTTTCCATCCAGACAGTATCCCATTTACCCTCAATGCTCGCCTTCTATCGTACAGAAGGTCCCCAATCCAGGCTTGCAACGAAGCACCAAACCCAAAAGAGGAGAACTTTCCCAGTAATTTCACATGCGACACTTTGTCGAATGCCTTGCCGAAGTCTATTAACACGGCATCTATTGGCAGCTTGCAACCACGGGCTGCAACTCATTCCTCTCTTGTGATAAGGAGGTTTGTTGAATAGGAGCGTCTAGTACGAAAACCGTGTTGCTGTGTGGCCAAAAGACTAGTTGATTCAACATGTTTAAGTGCCTTATCACGAGTTATTTTTTCTAAAACCTTAATAACTATGCTAGTTAAACCCACAGGGCGATAGTTAGCCGCCAGCTGGCGACTACCGGCTTTAAAAACTGGGCTGATTATGGCATCTTTCCAGTCTCTAGGGAGGCGAGTCTGAGATAGGGACATATTGAAAAGATCGGTCACTGGCTCAGCAACAATGTTCGCTCGCAAAGATAGCAATCTGGGGCGCAACTCATCGGGACGCGGGGGTTTTCCAGGTTTAGGATTGATGAGCAACTGGAAGACTAGTTCCTTTGTTATGAACATTGTATCCATTGGAGGGGCAATGCTGACATCATCCTGATCTATAGAGAAGACTTCATTGAAGTAATCCAATAGACATTCAGCTTTGAACAGATTATATTACGCCAGACTATCGGGATTTTCATTCGTCACCAGAGAGGGGATTTCAAATTTTATTTTAGTCCTCTTAGTGAGTGCGAAAACCTCGCCTGGTTAACTAGTTCACTAGTTACTAGCTGGTCCAAGCCCAAACAAAGAGGGAATGTTGGGCATAGGGCTAGCAATCCCACCCCGTCAAATAAATCCAACCGCTAAACAAACTTCAAAGCACAAACGAAATATAAAAAATAATAACAAAATCACTCCTCGCTGGAATCGGAGAGGTGAAATGACCCCGGTTGGTGAAAGCCTTCCTTCGGGAAGCCAATTCACAGGCCCATGTGTCTTCTCTTCTCTCGATGAAAACGAAAGTAAACGTGGGAACATGGAATGTCTGCACCACGTTTGAACCCAGCAAGGCAGCCCACATTGCAAACGAGATCAAGAGGTATCACATTGAAGTGCTAGGAATTGGCGAAAGCAGATGGAGTGGAAGTGGACTCTCCAAACTGTCAACTGCAGAATCAATAATCTACTCCGACATTGTCACACAGACGACAACCACGAGCACACTGAGTTCTCGAGTGGCTATCATCATGTCCCCAACAGCACCAAAGGCTCTCATGCAGTGGGAACCAATCTCCTCATGCAGGATCATGACAGCAAGATGGATTCAACTCAAAGGCAAGGAAGGTCACAATCATACAATGCTACATACACTACGCTATGCACCTACAAGTAATGCAGACGAAGAGAAGAAGGAGGAATTCTACAGACAACTGCAATCAACACTGGACAAGACCACAACTCAGTTGGCGACATCAAAATTCTAATGGCTGGGGTGACATGAATGCCAAACTGCATGGAGCGGAAAACACAGGAAGAGAACTAACTATGGGCCGAGAAGCGCTAGGTGAGGTGATGAACGAGAATGGAGAATTGTTTGCGGAATTCTGTGCATTCAACGATTTGGTGATTGGAGTCAGTCAGGCAGTGTGTTCAAGCACAAGGATATCCACAAAGCCAGCGACATGGATTTGATTTCACCAGACACCAGGACACACTGAAAATCAAATCGATTTTATCTCAATCTCAAGAAAGTGGAGACGCAGCCCACTTGACACAAGGTCAAGAAGAGGAGCAGATGTAGGCTTACATCACTCACTATCTAGTGCAAGGAACCTACCTTCAAAATCAAGTTAACAGCCTTCAAGGAAGCTGGTGATAGACCACAGTTCAAGTACAACACCCAGAACAGAAACTGCACTTAAGGACGAAACTACAAAGGACATCTTCACATCAGTCAGCCATCAAGACAAAATGGGAGATATCAACCAACATCCCTGAAGAAACCTGTGTGGATGAACACTGGAAGTCCTTGAAAGAGATGTGGAAAGAAACCTGCATAACCGTGTTAGGAAGGAAGAAGAAAGAAGATAAGGAATGGATCTCGATGGACACATGGAAGCTGATAGAGCAGGGAGAGGAGGATGGTGAAGCAGAAGATAAACCAGTGCAAGGCTGCACAACGAGAAGAGGAACTGAGTACAATGTATAAAACACTTCACTGGACAAAGAAGTGAAGAATAGTGGGCACAGAGATAAAAGACACTTCTACGACACACTTGCAAGTGAAGCAGAACAGACTGCAGGTAGGAGAGATAGAGACCTGACAACATTGTATCAAATAACCAGGTTACTGTCTATCTGGAAGAGACCAACACAGATGAGACCAATAAAAGATGATGAAGGAAGTTTAATTACCAAAGAGGAGAAACAAAGGAAATGATGGGCCGACCACTTCAAGAAGCTCTTGAATCAACCACCAGCACTTCGTCCAGAAATACCACCAGCACCCTAGCCACAGAACTACAAGTGAAAATAAATCCTCCAACAAAAGTCGAAGTCCTGAGCGCCATAAAGCTACTGAAATGCGGGAAAGCAGCGGGACCAGATGGAATACTGCCAGAAGCACAGAGAACAGATGCAGAGACAGACAACGGCGGACATGCTCACACCACTATTGCAGAAGGTCTGTAGGGTACCTGGCGATTGGAAGAAGGGCGACCTAAGTCTTTGCAAGAACTGGAGCAGAATCACGCTCCCGTCCACCCAAATCCAGCAAAATATTAAGCCGCACCCTCCTGGAGAGACTAAATGATGCACTGGATTCAAAACGACAAATGGAACAGACTGGCTGGATTCAGGAAGTACAAATCATATGCAGACCAAATCGCAACGCTTCGCATCATCATAGAACAGAGCACAGAATGGCACTCAACTCTTCACCTTACCTCAACTTAATCGACTTTGAGAAGGCATTCGACAGCGTCGACCAACAAGTAAGTTGGCAGTTGCTCCAACACTACGGAATACCGCAAACCTTTATCAGCCTCATTCAACAACTAGCTATATGAAGACGCCACATGTCGGCCAAGTAATTCACAATGGACAGCTCAGCTCAGTGATGCCTCTGAAGTGAAGACAGAAGTAAAACAAGGCTGCCTACTATCACCCATTATATTCCTGATTGTGTTGTGGTCGAACAGTGAGGAGCTGTGAGA